GTAGTAGTTGCTGTTGCTGCTGTTGTTGTTGTTATTGCTGTAGTAGTCGTCGTCGTTTATGATCAGAGTTGAACGGAGTTATAGTTGCTACAAGAGAGGCATGCATCGTTGAAGCCTTAAAACCTGACCTGTTGAGCCCGGAACGGTTACTACCCCACGCAATGGAAGGATCAGCAGCTCTTCTTCAGCAGCTTCTTCGGCTTCAGCTGCCGGCTATGTTACTTGGACCAGTTTGTGAGAGCAGGACGGCAGGAGGGTTTTCTGCTGTGTTTGGAGATCAGCTCTGCCCCACGAAGCATTGTCTCAACCCAAACTGAACGTCTTATCTTCCGACAGATTCTGAAGATTGGCACTTGGTCGAAAGCAAAAGTCAGCAAGCTAGGATGTGTCTAAGGTAATGTACCTACCTGAAACCTCAAGCGCAGACGAGTCTAGGTGGGGTGTTTCAGGTGGAAGACCCCTACTGTCGACTTTCAGACCAACATCGTCATTTTGTTTGCTTGACGTCGATATGCATGATACATCATGATACCACGAGGCCCCGTTCCGAAATAAACGAAAGCGAACTCCGAACCCTGAAGCTACTGTTGCTTTTGCGTGCTGGCACTCCGAAGCAAAGGCTCCCAAGGCATCAGACGGAAAAGCCGACGCCGCGGCACAACCTGATGGCCCGGACAAGACCGCAAAGACTCTCAGTGGGCGAACATAAATTTGTTGTTTAGGGATGTTTAGGGTTTAGGAGACAGGGGATGTTTAGGGTTTAATTAATTTAAGTTATGTGTTGGGGCGATTCAATGGGTCAGTGCCTGCAAGGGTTTACACTTGTTCAGGCTTATTTGCCAATAATTGGCGAGAACACGTCAATTATTGACGTGTTCTCACATCTCAGGGGCTTTTTCTAGCAGTGGGGTGAATTGCAGTCTGTTGAATCGATCGAGCCGACTTTTGTGGGTTTGTTGCGTGTTACCATCTAGCGGTTCGCCTGTATTCGGTATACGAGTGAGAATTCTGAGTCTTCCCAACTGTGAGACTTTTGTTTGTTCTTCTGCCCGTCTTGCAACCGTCGGTGTGGACATTATCCTGACTCCACAATCCGAGCTTTCAATAAACCCCTAAACCTTAAACCAGAAGCAACGCGCAACACTAAACCGTTGCCCCAAACAAGGAGAGGAGTTTCGAGGGAAGAGTCGTAACAGTAGCCCGGACGACCGAAATCTTTCTCCAAGGCATACCGTGTGCAAAGCCCGCAGTATCGGCAACACCAAGTCATACCCAACTACAGCCCACCGAATCAGCTCCAAACCCCCGTTCCGACAGCCGACATCCTCAAACCGCCTCAAACCCTCGGTTTGAGTTCAAACACCCACAGAGTTCAGAATTTCTGAGCTGCATGACACGAAGCCCTTCAAGGATTCCTAAATGCTCACCACCCTGAACGCGAGCTCGTCCGCATGGTGAGCGCCGAAACCCGATGTTCACATGTGCCCAGGAGTGCAGGTCAAGTCCAGCAGGCCGATTTGGCTGCCGCGCCACAGGCCTTGCGAATTGGGCCTCCGGCCCACCAATGCCAACGTTTGCGAATGCATGTGTAGAATAATGTCTGTATGTCTGAATGTTTGCCTGTCTGACTGTATGTATGATGATGATATGCGCGCGTGTATGTATGTACGCATGAATGTCCGTATGTGCATCTATCTTAGATGGGTGTAGGTCGGTCAGTAGCTGATTAGTTAGGTGGGTAGGTAGGTTTAGCAAGGCTGCCAGGGAGACAGGCAGGAAGGCAAGGAGGCAGGTAGGCACGTAGGTAGGGAGGTGAGTGCGCAGGCATGTGCGGTAGCAGGTAGGCAGGCATGCGTAATCATGCGTAAATGTCTGTATGCTTTCATCTCTGACTTTGTCTTACATAATGTCCGGGCTCTCAGCTGTATCTCTGCAACCTTTTGGGGAGCAGGAGCCCGACGCGGACTCGGCAGCGCGACCAGACCTGGCAGCGGCAGTTTTGGCGGACACGCCACCTGCTGAGCCGAACGCTGCAAAAAATGTGGATGCCTGGCTGATTTTTGCTTGATGCACCGTCAACTGCCACTGCACATTCGCTGGCTTCCTCCTAGCGACAGCCCTATGATGGTACTGTATAATTGGTCGTGTTTGGGTTGTTGTCGTGCTGGTGGCAGAACGACTGGCAATGCAGAGCACCAGACTAGCTCCTTTCGTCGTCGTCGTCGTTGCGCGGAATGTGCCTACGCCTTAACTTCAGTGCTAGCTAGAGCCAATATAGTCTAAGGTCCGGTGCCGTAAGTCTTATAAATCTCAGGACATGGGGAGCGAGCCGGGCAGCGATGTGCGATCGCTTCAGGGCAACCCGGACTCCGGGAACATTCCAAGCCCCATGAGCCAGGACTCTACGGGCTTCTCTGGATCAACTTAGTGGTCGCGATGCTGGCTGTGATATTCTTCGCCACAATGAAAGCAACAGTTATCGGCTGACGAAAACCGTGGAAGTCAATCGTTGAGCATCGTCGTTGTTTGCGTTTCCTTTCGCTTGTGTCTCCTGAGAAGAGGTAGCAATCAGCGAGCAAAGCAAAGCGACGCCAATAAACGCCACACATATGAATCCATACCTATATTGGAGGTTCGGGGGCATGTAGCTCCGCATGTGCAAACATACGCATGGAATCCACACCGGTATGGCTCTTTGCGTGTGTGCGCGTGCGCATGCATATTCAGAACTAGATACTCGCATTTGAGTCATAAGAGATGTGTATATATATATATGTACATGTATATGTATATATATATACACATGTATGTATACATGTGTTCATATATACACATATATGTATATATATATATACACGGTATTATGCTCGTTACAGCATAACAAGCTACTGCTTATCTGTTTACACACATAACACACACACACACGCGTATATACATATACATATACATATACAGATATTTATGTCTATATATTATATATATATATATAAACACATACATGCTGTGTGTTCATTTATATTTAGGTCCCTTTTTGGAGTCTATAAGCATATCAAAGATGGGCCATGAGTCGCCTATATAGGCCACAAGGCAGCATGCGAGTAAATTACGGGAAGCACGCGGCCCGTGGTTCTGGTTAAGACATGCAGGTATCTTTCAGGCGCACCCTCAAACCGAAGCCTAAAGACTCCGCCCAGCCTGCTTCTGTCCTGGCTAGGGCTCTCCAGCCCCTTAACCTGCTTGGGAAATTATTGAAAGGGACCGGCATCATGCCAACCGCTCGAAAATGCTAACGGGGTAACCAGGAGGAACTATTCAAAGCCTAGGCTTTCTGAGACCCTCGCCCCGACCTAAATGAAGAGCCCGAAAGCCTCCACGCAATCTTCGGCATAAGATGCCCAGTATAGTCTGGGGGCCTTAGTAACCAGAATAGCCTTTGGTAATTATTCGGTCTTCTATAAGTCTGCGGTAATTTCTTTTTGAAAGTCTTCTGTAAGTGCGCAGGACGGCACCACGGTGCGAATCTCCATGAGCGACTCCTCCTTGCAGGAGCAGATTCCGCCTCCGTGCGGGTGCCTGTACCTTGGGCTGAGATAAGAAATCCTTCGGATTTAGGGTTTAATTAGGGCTTTCCTGTGCTGATCATTTGTTGGCCGCAAGTGTAGCCCTTCCGTCAGGCTTGACATTTCGGATGCCTGGGAGAAAGGGAGAGGGAGAGAGAGGATTAAGAAAGACCGATGTACTCGAGTCGCATACATGACAAGCTGCTTGATTGTTTTCTCCTCTGCTGCTAGATTCGTAAACCTAAGCACCCCTCTTCCGTTCACTCCGCACCAAAAGGGGTGCGCGACAGCACGGGGGAGGGGGGGGACCTCCACCTCAGGCCGGCAGAAAGAAAGAAAGATTAAGAAAGACCAGGGTGGGAGGGCGAGACAAACCGAGTGAGGTGACTTACTGCATGCCCATTTCCACTTCTGGCTCTTTTGGTTGTTGCACCCCGTGACTTGCCAGGGCAATATAGGGTTCGGAACAAATATCCACGCCCCCATGTCATTATAATGGTATAAGATATAGTCCCCATGCCACTCTAGTATACGATACCCCGAAACACTAGTCTTAATATTTGTCGGCGCTTCGGCCTGTGAACGCTAAGATGCGAAGAAAGGCGTCAACAATGTTTCGAGTGTTCGTTACTTAGGTATCCCCAACCCCGGCACCTTCGCAGGAAGGAAAAGTATTCATTTGAGGGGCTTCAAAAGGTGGGTTGAAGGTAGGTAGGATGAGCAGGATCCCCGCTATAAGGGCTCTTGTTTCGGAAGTGCCCCAGCTACCTTCATCCCACCTTTGAAGCCGTTGATTTTTGTGGGAAAAAGTGTGAGAGAGAGGAAGATGAAAACAGATCTCGAAGTCAGGTATCATGATACGACAACGCGCAACCTCAAATTGTGCAGTCTCAATGCTTGGCTCGTTTCATGCACATCCGTACATACTTTCGAGTTTAGGGTTTAGCGCTTCTGGTGTCAAGCCGCTGCTATTGCATCCGTGGCGGCAACGGGTGGACTATCAGCAGGCCGCCACAAGTCGTGTGCAGCAATGAAAAGAAAACAACCAGAAGCTATCAATAACAAGAAAACAATAAGCAGAACAACAACAAGAGCAAGAACAGTAACAAGATCAAAAACAAGAGCAAGAGCAGGAACGATGACAAAAGCAACAAAGCTAACACGAATAAGAACAAGAACAAGAACCATGACTACAACAATAACAGTAACAGTATATAGCAGTCACAATATACAAAACAACGATATAAGCAGCCCAGGTCCTCATCGACGAAGTCGAAGTCGCCGGTAAGGTCACAAGCACCATTGCAACAGCCAGCCAGGCCACCGTTAAAATGTGGGCGCTTGACGATTTCTCTGTAATCGTGGAGCGCTGGCAAGAGCTCGTTGGTGGAAAGTTTTCAATGTTAGGTGCTGTATATAATACCTGCCGATGGGCAGGCCATTGGCCCCCATCTGGCCTTGGAAGGTTCCCAAGTCGGCAAAGCCTATAGCATATTTCAGTCACTCACAGTGTCAGGTTCATGCTTACACATTGTCGCAGATTGTTGCAGTCGCAGCAGTGCAGTGGCACCTTATACAAGGCTCTATGGCCGGCTTTGCCGCACAATATGCTGCGATGTATCATGATATCTGCCAGATTTGGGCGTTCATCTGCCAGATTTGGGCATTCACCCGTGGAGCACTCTGAGCTGTTTCTTGTGGTGGAGAAGTATAGGGCCGAACAAACAAACAAACTGCATCGGTCAAGCAGCTGTGAGTTGTGAGTCATGTAGTGCAGAGCAATCAAGAATCGCTACTTAGTCGCTGTTTCACTTCTACGCATGACAGAATGCCTCTGTTGAGAGCTGAGCCTCCAGCAGCGGATATTCCCATGTGACCGGAGTAGACCCGACGGCTTCAGAGCCCCGATTCTCCCAATAATGCACGGGTTTTCGTTCTCAAGACACTCGCAGCTATTCAGTGGAAGTGTTTTTTTTTTATCGTTTTGTCTCATATGATGGTCGCTTTTTTTCGGTTAGTTTCGAGCATGAAGGTTCGCGCCATCTGGGCTCCTCGTCAGTGACTCGTCAGACATGCTAGACCTCGACCTGGGCCAAGAAAACATGCTTTTGGCGCGCATGCTTCTGACAGTTCTACGGGTGCTTGTTTATCCGAACATGGTGGCTTGATCAACTGTTCGTGGTAATGCATTGCATCATTGCTTCGACGACGAAGACAACGACAACACTGCCACCACGAGGACTACGATCGTGATATACAGGTACAGTCTTGCTCATTCTGCTGCTGCTGTCGTCGCAGCTGCTTGTGGCGTCGCGACATCCGCCTAATCTGTAGTTGCGCAGACTGCAGATACGCTTAGAAATACTTGGGCCATAAATGATAGCATCCCGGTGGGTTGCCCTGCATGTCGTGTATCCGTTATGACTTTAGTTGCTGAGTTAACAGGGTTTCTGGCAGGATAGGTGCTCTTGGTTTCGCATTGGATTTTTTTGGTTCGACCTTGTTTAACCACATGTCGGGCTCCCAGACACAAGACACATGCCGAAGGCCCTGCCCAGGATGGGATGGTGACGGATCTTGAAGCTTCGGGTTCAGGGTTCAGGGCTCGAGTCGCAAACCCTGAACCCTGAAAAAAAATGGTTTGAGTCCTCCTTGCAGCATGTTCCCGATCGCAGGGGCTATCAGCGCGTCACCGGGGCACCGGATACCCGCACGGTCCGGCAGGGTGCTACGCAGCCGCCCCGTCAGCGGCCCGAGCTTCGTGTGTCTAGCGTTCGGCTTAGGGATTCATGGTTGATTATATTGTGATATACTATGAGATCATTGAAAAGAGTTTTTGTCTGAATTCGGTTTCACAGTACGAGCTGACGACCATGGGTCCGCGTTTTTTGATGTGTTTTTTTGCCTCGTCCACGTGGGTTCTACTGGGCAGGCCAGCTGAGACCTTTTTGGTTGGGTCCGCAAGTCTGCACTGTTCCAAGACAGTCCAGGAGGGTTATAGGGTTTAGCGTTTAGGGTCTAGGGTTTCGTACGTAGTGTTCCGGAAGTGGGGGGACTTGGCCGTGGCCAAATCTTAGACACCGAATGTCTGAGCTTCAAACTGACCCTCTGCACGAGACAACGTCGAAGCAGAAACTGTAGCCTTAAGAAACGCAGCTTTCGAAGAGAGCCCTGAGCCCCTTCCTGTAAGCCCTAGGGGCCGGAGCACTATCGCTACTATCCGGTAAGCAGAAGTCCGAAAACCCCGAGCATCTTGCTATGTGTTGCTAGCAGTACTATAGTGGCCTACATAATTACCACTACTATTTAGGCTCTTCTTTGAAGAATCATAGTACAGTATATACCAAAAGTTTGTACTAATTATTCAGGCCCGTCTATTACGACTGCAACGGTTAGGGCATGAAGCCACCACTCTTGCTTACTACGAAAACCAACGTATCGATAACGAACCGATTGCCGGTTGCCTGGTATGCTATCTAGATGTTGTGATACTTGCTATAATCGCTAGCCTGGTATCGGGAAGCTCTAAATCTCCCAAACTGGTCGCATTCTTAGTATCAGAACCTCTTGATGGTACGCCTTCTTCTCAGAAGCCCGCATATAGAATGATTGTGGATTGCCCACAATGCCCTATCGAAAATTACTAGAGTTGCTTCCAGACACGACAGAATCCTTAAACCCTACAGTGACGGAGCTGAGTCGCATCATGTTTTTTGATCCCACCCCACACCGGGGGCAAGCACGCGAGGGGGGGGGTCACATCACCGAGCGTCTACTTGGGGATTCGTGATCATGTTGATTCGGGACTGTTTTCCGGTTTGATTGCTGAAGCTGAACTTACATCAGTTTACATCGAGAATCGCTCTTTCTGTAGTACTGGGTGCTTGCAAAATCGGGCGGTTGCATGGGGAACGGCTGGTTTTGATTTGCTGTCTGATGCGATGTCGCTGATGTGTTTCTGGAGCGGGCTTGCTAACTCGAGCGTCTACATGGGGTATGGCTGTTTTGATTTGATGTTTGCTGCGATGCCACTGATGTGTTGCTTGTGCGGGTGCTTACGAAATCGAGTGTCTACCTGGGGAATGGCTGGTTTTAATGTGCTGTTTGCTGCGATGCCGCTGATATGCTTCTTGTGCTGGTGCTTACGAAATCGAGCATTGACATGGGGAATGGCTGGTTTTGATTTGCTGATTGATGCGATGGACGTGTGTCTTGCATGGGTGCTTCTTAAACCGGGCGTCTACATGGGGAATGGTGTGGCTACCATGTGTTTTGTCTAGTGGCTGCTACCTTGCTGACGCGGCGTCTACATGTGGAAAGCCACGCTGATGTGACCGTCATGTGATCTCCACGCATCGCGCGAAGGGAAAACTGTGTCCCAGCCAAAAGCAGTGTGACTTAGCTCCATCATTGTAAACACTAAACCCCGGTAAACTCTAAATCCTATCAACCCCAAACCAGGCTTCGAGTCGAGATCTGCTCGGATGGAACGAGTTAAGTCGCGAGTTGAGCGCCTGAGCGGCACGGTTTTGGCGTTTGGCGGCGTGGTAAGTTTGAGGATGTTAAAAAGGTTTAGGGTTTGGGGCTTTAAGGTTTAGGTCAGGGATTTAGAGGCTTTGGGGTTTTGGGTTCTTTTTGGTTTAGGCAGGCAATTTGCAGACTGTCCGAGCGCCCTAAATCATTCCTAGTGAGACTTTCAGGAAATACTCCCAGCGTGCATTGGATCTCGTCATGGCTGCCGAGCCCGACTACGAGGAGATGCTCAAAGTGCTCTTCGTGTATACAGGTAGATGGATAGATGTATGTCAATGTATGTATATGCCGTCTATATCTACATTATGTTAAAAAAAAAAAAGAAAATAGTGCATATATGTATGTGTGCATATATATATATATATCTATGTATATTTATATATATATATGTATGTATACATGTGTACATATACAGTAGTTAGTAGCAGTATGTATTAGTTACAATGCTAACTTTGCCCCCAACCATAAATCCTGAAGTTCATTTCGTCCGGGCCCTAGCGGCGAAGCACTTCAAGCCGGCTCGGATTCTTGTTGATTTGCGACGTGTAGATTACAGATAGCGGTTTAGGGTTTAGGGGTTTAGGGAAGGCCTTACAGTCTTATGAGCCCTGTTGCCCAAATACTGCTTCATTAGACTATGCTTGCGAAGGAGCTTGTATGTCGGGGTCAGGATATACTATTGCTTGCATTGTGATGTACACCTTGGATGCTGGTTAGCATTATAGATGCGTTCCTTGTTTACAACAGTGCTGGACTATGCTTTGCAACTGTAGGGATCTTGATTTGCTCACTTAGCTTCTTGGGGGGAATAGATATAGATTACCATACATAGTTTTTGTGCTGGACTTTTTTGTAGATCTTGGCAGTTTTTGAACGGACTTATTCCGTCACGTTTAGCGAAATAAATATAATGCAGGCAGAATTTCATGACAAGTATTAGTTCCTTGTTGAATAGTTTTGCTTCCTCTTCCCCCCACTTCGGCAATATTATGGATAGCTATAGGATTAAGAAGGACATGTGGGTCACTAGGGGTTTCCCATAGAGAGAGGGAGGCAGAGTTGGTTGCGTTCTGAGTACCAAAACGACAGTGCCAATGCGCAGGGTCTACCCATAGGCCCCTCAGTAGTTCTTTTTTGGGATTAAATTGTAGGATTCTAAATATAAACCATAAAAAGGAACTACTTAGGGGCCTATGGGTAGGTAGATTGAGGTTATGGGCTTCGGGTGCAAGGCAACTCCCAGTCTACGATTTGTCGTTCGTAACCAGCTGGGCTTTCAAATTGGGGAGTCGGCTGCCTTACTATTTATAGTTGTAATACACCCCAAAGCGCGGAAGCGAGTTATTAAGCCCCCCTACATTAGGACACAGAGCTGCAGTACTATGTGAAGATTCTGAACCGTTGCCGCGGGCACGCGAAGGTGCGCGGTTTGCCGCTCGGGAGGGCCTTTCTGCATCTACTATAGAGTAATAGAGTACTGAAGTGGCTCTGCTTTGTGACGAATCAAATTCTTAAGAATATCGGGCAGGGTCTCAGGTACGTTCGGAACGGATTTCAAAAAGTGAGTTCGGAAGTTTGCTTAACGACTTTTCGGGTCTGCTTGGCTTGAACATTCTTCGGAAGCGGCTGCGTTGGTGAAGTCGAGGGAACACCCCTTACAACCCTCTAAACCCCAAGCCGCGAATCCCGAAAGCAGATGCGTTGGTGAAGTCGACGGGACAACGCCTTACAACCTCTAAACCCCAAGCCCCGCATCCCGAAATCCATAATGGACAGCTTCCAGTCCGTTTGCGGCTCGCCCTGGAGCGAATGGCAAACTTCCGGTG